GTAACYCCAACTTTYTTGAATAGAAGAAGCAAGGATTTTGGACTATTAATTCTTTTGTCAATGTTTAAACAGTTGATAAAGAAAATTAGATGACACTCAAAAAACATTTGTATCTTTTGAAATATCATTTAACGGTTGATTAACAGCTAATTAATGACTAGTTAAGGGCAAGTATTGGATTGTCATGTTTTGAAAATTCGAATACTGAATTGTCACATTTGGTAACCAAAGTGGCACTAGACACACAAAGGAAAGGAAAGGAAAAGTAAAGAAACCCTTACAAACCTTGTATAGATTTTGATATATTTCCCTTCTTTTCCCTACCTTTTCTTTCAAACCAAACATAGCCTAATTAAAAAGTGAGAGCTCAACCATTTTAATAATGGGCCTTAGAATGAGAGTCGAGCCTGTGTGGGGTGTTATAAAGGAGCCCAATTCCAAGCCCTTGGAAGCAGAATCTAAGCCCTGCTGATGAAGTAATTAAAGTGCGTCAGATGTGGGACTGCATGTGAGGTGCACTGCAGCAACTAGAGTCTACAGAGGGAGAATGTCATATCTCACCAAATAGAGAGGGAATCCAACGCCAACTCAGGGTTCTTAAGCAATCCGGCGATTAAAACCAGTATCTGAAAATACCAACTCTCCAAGCACAACATCACTGCCGAAGCCGTAGACAGCTTCAAGAATTCCGGTAACCCAGAGAAAGCTTGTAACGAAAATCCGGTCCAAGTATATTTGCAGTTATTGCTAACGACGATGTACAGGAACTGAGCTCCCACAATAATCCACCATGACAGACTTAACACCAGCGACGCACCTAATAATCCTAGGCCTAACTTATACACTGCGAGCCAGCTTAGCAAGAGATGGACTCCTAACGTGACCATTGATATATAGGTGCTCGGAGCCACAATACTCTGGGCTTGAAGGAATTTCTGTATGGGAAAGTTTGCAGCGTAGGCGAATATCTGAGGGATAAGGCCGTAGGTGAACACCGCGGCTGCCGATGCTATCTCTACTGGTTCATGGAGGAAGATCAATATGGGTTTCGAGAAGATGTATAGCACAGCGATTGGGATCCCAGTTGCCATAAGAATGATGGTTGATCTCTGGAGATAGATGCCTAGCATTTCGTACCTCCTTCCCCCGTATGCCTGCCCACACAGTGTCTCAACTGCACTTCCCATTCCTAGCTGCAGAGACAATATATATATTCCAAAACACGAATCAGAGAGAGAGAGAGAGAGAGTTAATAAGAATGTTTTGCGTGTTATACGTACCATGAGACCATAGGCCAAGAGCTGAATGCCGCTATTGCCGAGTGAGACAGCAGCGAGCTCAAGGTTGCCGAGGTGGCCGGAGAAGACGCGGGTGGACATGGACATAACGTAATTGATCATGTATACGAAGGCAGCAGGGGTAGCGAGGTGAAAAAGGAGCTTCAGTTCGATAACAATGGCTGATTGCAGACGCTTTAAGGTCGACAGCTGGGTGTCTGATAGTATTCTTTCGAGCTGCTCATTGTTTTGAGGTTGGTCGGAATCCGGATTCGTTTGCAATATAGGTTGACGAAGCTCTTCCTGAGGGGATTCCATTTCGTGGTTGTTGTTGTTGTTGTTTTATGAACGTTGTGGTTTTTCCAAGATTGAAATATAAGGTGGGAATGGCAACGGGGCGGGGCAGCGCCGGATTTTGCCTGCCCCAGACCCAAAACTCAAATTCCCGCCCTGAACCCCGGTCGGAAAAGAAATTCTAACCCCATCCCCGCCACTTGTAGTGTAGGAAACGAGGATCCGATTTTGCTGACCCATTTTTGCTTTTTACCGCAACTTGAAGCTCCGTCAACGCACAACCTTTCACCCATAAAGTTGAAGCAAAGTTAAGTTATGGAGGGTGGGGCTAGATACCCTACTTTTAACGAATGAGTCAGAGGCATAAGATAAGTAGGGATCTTTTAAAACGGATGGAAATTACAGTCAAGGTGATGGGCATTTTACCTACTTGTTCTCTCTAAATATTCTCTTCTTTGTTCTCCTCCCTTCCGATGGTTTTTAATTGAAACGGCTGTCTTTTAATTGTTTCCCTGTATGTAAGCTTTCGGGATTTGGGACTTTGCTTTGGTGAAACTTGAAAGTTAGGGGGCGTTCCTCAATATGAATGGTTTTGTTTTTATTTAAGAAAATGAAAAACAACTGTCAGCAGTAAAATCACACAGATGTATTGTTTTTGTTTTAAAAACAAAATCATCTACATTGACGAACAACCACTTAGATGTTATTCTTCTATTTTGATATTTTTTATTTGCTTTTTTTTCTTGATAGTTCTTCACCGACAAGCAAATCGACTCCCACTTTAATAAATAAAAGTGAAATTAAAGCTAAAAAGAAAAAGAGAAAAAAAAGAAAGGAGAAATGACAGAGACGACAGCGAGGAGGTATGGATGATTCATGGGAGGAGCTCTCCATGTTCACATATGAGTGGCGGGTGAGAGGGATGGACCCCACATGCAACAATCCAGAGAATAGGGTTGGTTCAATTCGATTGTATATAATTTATCCAATCGAACCGACTAAGGTTACCTAAAAACCCAAGTAAATATAGACTTATCGAACCGGCATCCAGTCACCCGAAGTAAATATAGACTTGGGTCCATATTCTCTTTCCCTTTGACGCCTCGCTCTTCTTGTCTTTCTCCATTTTACGTGGGGACACAGTGAGTGACTCCCAGTGAAAAATATAGTGACTCGCAGTGAAAACAAAATCAGTAGCTTCTTTGATGTGCAAAAGACCCAATATACGACGATCCGATGGCTTATTATCACCGGGAAACCTACAGAAGTGAGAATGGGAAGAGGAAAGTTTTTTCTGGGGACTTGGAAAACAAGAAAATGAAAGCCCCAACATAGTTACAGAGGAGAGAGGGATACAGATGCGAGAAAAGGTTACAGTTGAAAAGATAGTGACACAAAAGTCGAAAAGATACAGACGCAAAGGTTGGCCACTACACAGTTACAGACTGTGTAGTTTAAAAGGTTACTATGGATTCCCCAACATAACCAGCCATCCAACCATACCATCCAAGTATAAATTCAGGCCTTAAATGACAACCAGTTTGTGGAATAGCTGAAAAACCCTCCTTCTGAAGCAACAACTTTAAGGGACAAGCAGAAGTTGATCTCTGAGGATGTAGATTGAATTTTACCGTGCCATCAAACACTTCCACCATGCCATTAGCATGCCTTCGGAGTGTCATCATGTGTGTCATGGATGAATCATCTATGTATTTTGCATGGGGGGATTGCTAATGTTATTATTGTAAATACTTAGTATAATTTTTCACAATTTTGATATTTTTTTTGTCACTCCCCCAAAAGCTTAACGTACTTTTTGAAGAGAGATAGGTAATCGAGTGAATCAAGAGCGTGTAAAGATTAAGCACAAAATCCCCTTGACACTAAACTGTATGCTTATACTTGCCAACATTTAATGCAATATAAAGTGCCTTTTGATTGATTCATGTGCCATCTTGTTGCCTTTTGTGTATTATTACTTGTATTTGTAGACTTTCTCCACCCCATTGAGTGTCACAACTAGCCCCGTGACAACAAGGCCTCAACCGCCAAGTCTCCCCACCCATCGCAACTTCTTCGTTGAAAATACAAAGTAAAGTCATCAATATAATCAAAGTCAGATTCTTGGTTGTTTTCTCTGCTACATCCACTAAACTGCTTTATTCTCGAGGTTCAGAAGATTCTACAAATCTCTTTTGATTTAGTTCTTTCACACTAGATTTTATCTATTAGTGTTCTGCATAGGCTTCATTTGTTTCTTCCCTTCTGCACACATATATAACAAGAGTTGAATCCCCTATATTTTCTTTATTCTACTGCAATCGTCTCTATATTGTTCTTAATTTTTCTTTTCTATATATGAAATGAAATCAGTGATGAAGGGATGAGAGATCCATCATATGGATGGTCGAACCCTATAAGAAGGTTGGGCGAAATTTCAAAAATTTCTCTCTCTTCCATGTGGGAATCACATTCCCTATTTTAGAAAACTGCTTTTTCAGTGATCAATCTTGAACCTAAACCAGACCAGATCTGAAACCAAAAGGGAGTGAAGGGATATACCTGATATGAAGTAGTAATAACCTCCAATGAAGGTGTTCACGCCCAAGGAAAGATTCAAACACTGTTTCCACCGAAAATGACACGGTGCAGGATGAAGCAGAATCAGCATGATGGTTCTTCAGCAAGAACCGAATTCTTCAGCAAGAATCTGATGGAGGGCTAGTGAGCACGACTTTAGATTACCTTTTTTGCCAAAATGTAATATTAAGAACTCTTCTTGATCGCTCCCACAGGTGGAGATCGAACTGGTATGGCGGCAAGAGCAGGAGAGAAGGAAACAGTGCAGTCAAACTATGTTGTCTCTCTCTGGAAATCAACAGTCAGTTAGATGATTTCTGATGTTTTTTTTTAAGGTTCGCCCTGTTCACCTATTTATAGCCTTAAAGAGAGGTTCTCCCAATCCCATTAGGAGTTTCCTAATCCAAATCTTGTATTTGGATCTAGACTCTCTTTAAGAAATAAAGATAATCCTTTATCTTATCTGTAGATAAAGATCAGCCCTCCTAATCTAATTAGGAATTTCCTTATCCAAATCTTTATTTGGATCTGGACTCTCTGAGTGGATAGGGATAATCCTTTATCCTATCTGCTGATCTAAATCCCAGAACCGTCATCTTTTAATTAATCTAATTAAACCAGTTCGAATTGGGCTTTAGGCCCATTAAGTCCATCTGTTCACTTGCCCTCCAAACTACTGCCTAGTTGGATATCCTTGTATGGCGTGGGACCCAAACATTGATCTACACATCAGCCACATGGGTTTAGCCCAGCCTATGTTACAAGGCCTGGCCGAATTCACTGTAGGAGACAGTAAACCCCTGAGTCCATCACCATGGGCTCTTAATGGGCCCAACATTTACACTAAATGGTCATTGCATCAAGTCACCTTATAAAAACCCAAAAACTGTGGGCAGATGCAAGATTAGCCCATCAGGTATTACCCTCTATGGTCTTACACTTAACCTCTTAGCCCGTAATGATCAAACACTACTCGATAAGAGAGGACCTCTCCCTTGGCTGCAAGGTATAGTGTTGCACTCTCTACTCACATGGATCCCAGGAATTAAAACCTTTTGCAAATATTTTGAAACCAAATTTCAACGGTTGAAATCGACTGCCGACAGTTTTGGTTTCCATCAGAGAGAGTGCATCCCCGATCATTCACTTTGTCTGACAAAGGGGTTGATCCTGTCACTATGATCACCCACTCAGATGAATTCTCAAACTGTCCCAACATACCTAGGTTTTGACCCCCTCTAAGGATCTCACTGATTGACATATCAAAGATAGCCCAATCCAACGCCTAGTGTAGTCATAACCGAGTCTAGGGGTCAGGTGTAACATTCAAGTTTTGCCCATCTATCTCCAAGGTCTAGGGCAATACCGGAATTCTGATCCGGTTCAGGGTTTCAAGAAAATCCACACTGCATGTACATCAGGTCTCACCCTAGCAGCTGAGACAATTTACCCCAACCAACTTGGTGGCACATCAGTGTCAGTCTTGACAGGATAAATCTATCCAACGACTGTGAAGATTCTAAACTAACACGAGTCTCATATGTATTCAATTTAAAGGTATTACACAGAAACACACTATGATAACATGAATCAAATATATACTTTATTTATTTACATTAAATATAATAATATACATCATTCTGATTGGAGTTAAGGATGTACATTGTCTAACAGGTGAGACAAGCTATACATGGTTTCTGTTATAGATAACAACATACCTTTATTAATTATTATGCAAAGAAGTTAAATTAATGACGGCTCTTGTTGTCAACGTTGTTGATGCACCGATGACTCATTTTCCTCCAATGGTAATCTTTCAAGCATGGCATTCGCAAATAATGTAGCCATTAGCATCACCGGACCTGAAGCGATCAAAGACCCCACAACACTGCCCCTAACATCGTATCCCTGCCCTCTTACAAAAAATATCGTCAATCCACCTGCTCCAGGTTCAGTCGACAGTGGAAGCATTGTTCCCAACGGCGAAAGTATCTCAAACCGACAGTGCAGTGTCACTACACTCTTGGTGGTACTGAAGGCTGACGCAAACATCATATTGGCGACTGCCCCACCGCCGCTAAGGATGCAAACAACTCGACCCCGGTGCTGTTGGAGATGGAGAAGGTGCAGAGCTGGATGGCGCTGATGATCTTGGATCCTTGGGCTTGAAGAGGGAGAAGAAAACTATACAAACGTTTAATGTTTAACCGTCACAGTCGAGTAGTTCTGGTGATGATTTTACTTTGCCGGTGATTTATTACCCTCACCGGTGAAGTGCTTTTAATTGGTATTGTTTTGGTCATTTTAAATTTTTTTGATTTTATTAAAAAGTATATGACCACTTCAATAATTTTATCATACACAGAAATTGACCCAAGTGCCTATTTTTGAGAGTTTAGGATATTTAAGTATTGCAATTGAAAGTTTAGGTACCTATCAATCACTTCCCCCAAAGTACAAGGTATCATTTACCCTATAATATATTATAAATTATTGTTAGATTATAATATATCTAAAATATATAATTATATATAATATTAATTACATGCATATTTTCAAAATATATAATTATATTATTCTATAGCATATATATTTTATTTTAGTTTCACTTTTTTATATTAAAAATTAATATTTGAAGCAAAAATGGCATTTTTAGCAAACCAATGCAGCAAAGCGCCTTTTGCACCTTGGAAACATGTAGATCTCAAAAAGTTGTCCAGAATAAAAAAGAAAAAAAAAAATAAATAAAGATCACTCCAATTAGACATCTGAATGCAAACTTATGGCGTTTAGAAGTTTACATTTATGTGCAAAAAAATTGTCAAAAAACCGTTTGATCTTTTAAAACAAGGACTGGGTCGCCGGTTTTCTGGTTTGACCATCCGAGTCACCAATTTTTAGCGAACTACAGTTTTGGGGGTATGACCGAATTGGCTAGGTCTGGGTCACAGTTCAATTGATCGAACTGACCG